GGCATTCCACGATTCACATAACAAAAGTCTTTGGAAATGAGTTTACAATCGCGATATCACACGGATCTCGTGGATCCTGCGTCCTAAATTCGAGAGATTCACAGCCTTAATCTTAGTCCGTGCTCGACGGATCATCGTGTTCGATGTAGGTTTTGAATTTTGTCTGCTGCGTGACTATGTAGCCGTGTCGCAACAATCTCGTTCGAACTTTCACAAGATACACTGTTTTAGGTCAAAAGCTACGTTCGTTCAACGCACAGCCCTACAGGTCTAACCCACTCCGATTCGATCGTACAAAAAAACTTTCGGACGGTGAACGAAAGAGAACTCGGGGACGAAGGCAATCTCGCACTTTCATCGACCGCCATTATCTTTATAACTTATTGACTTATACATATGATCCATACATACGTACACACATATATACACGCGCGCGTACTCTGTACACATACACACACTGGCATGCTAGCATACGTACAGATATGTAGTACCATACATGCGTATGTACATACATACGCAGATACAAATTCCAAACACGCACTCGTTAGATAGTTTTGTCGCAGGTTCTCGATGAACTTGCTGACCTACTTGAATATTCTATTCTACTGTCGTTATTACAATCGAGACGTGATCGTGGCTATTATTCCTACATTGTTGTTGTTGTTGTTGTTGCTGCTGTTGTCGTTACATATTATAAACCATATTATTACTATTAACATTCTTATTACTACCACTACTGCTATTGTACAACTATTATCATCATCATCGTCGTCGTCGTCATTATTCTTATTAATATTATCGTAATTACTATTACAATTGATTTTTAAAAAAAAATTACTATTACTATTATTATTAGCACTGATGTTGTGTTTCTTGTTCCTATTATTTACAAATCTGGTCTCCCGTCACGGAACATCGTCAGAATCGCGATCCTTACAAGAATCGTTATTACACATCGTGCTCGTCGTCTGTGTGAAACGAAAGTTGTATAAGTTTCGATCTACGAAAACCAACGACCGACCGTTTGATTCAACCATTCGTTTTCACAAATTCTTTGAACAGTTTAATGACTAAACGCGAATAAATAAGATGAAAGCGTCCAACTGTTGGGCTCGAGATTCGCAAGTCGAAAACGAGCGATGCGAAACGGTAATAAGCTTCGGGAATTGACGTTCAACGGGAAAAAGACGAACCGGTGGCTGGTGGGAGAGATGTGTAAGAGCGTCATCGAAATTTAGTATAATTCAGTGGTGTACCGTTCGAATTTTAGAATACTATCGAATCAATCAAACTGCCTAAAACGTGTCAAGGGTTCAAGTAAAATGGACGGGGAAGGGAAGGGAGGGGGGGGGGACCAGGACTGGGTCCGGGTTAGGAACGACTACCGTGCTCCGTTGATCGTTATGGAGCGCGAAAGAGAACCGAGACAGTTCTCAATGACTCCCGATGTTTCGTAAAATGGCACCAGGGGAAATCGGATCGCTGCTCGCTTCCTCGATAAGCTCAGGATTTCTTGGTACTAAGCAAACGTCAAAAGGATCGGGGGTGACGGTAATACCGGCGTTGCCGCGCAAGCTCGGCAAGGAGGCGCCGTTCGGCGATCTCAATTCGAACGTGTGCATCAACGAGCTAAAGAACAGGAATAATTCCATGCGTGCTAACACATCGCCCAGGCACATACGTCTACCGACACCGAAAGGCATAAAGTATTCCGGTTTCTGGACTTTACCTTCGGCCGAGAGAAATCGACTTGGCCGAAACTCCTCGGGCGCCTCCCAAAGTTTCGAATCCATGTGTACCGCGTGCAACAGAGGTACCACTTGCGATCCAGCCGGTATTGTATAACCATCTAACGTTACATCCCTGAAACAATAGTACGATTTCCAAATTTTTCTCACTTTTCTCCCTCGATTCGACTTTATTCATTTTATCAACCCTTTCCCTCGACACACCCCTTGCATCCTTTCGTTCCGTAACTTTCCTTTCATCGCATTCCAGCGATACCTTGCCGTGCAATTAACAAGAGCAATGACCTTTAGTTCCCGATGCTTTCGATCATTGTACCACTCGAGGCCGATCGAGACACTGCCCTCCCCCCCTTCCCTCCGTCATTACTATCTATAGATTCGAGATCAGCAACGGCCCAAAATATATGGATCGAGTATACTTGTAGGCGAAAATCATTCGGTACAAGTAGCACGATAAAGAAAGGATGCAAAATAAAGATCGACAAGCGTCCCCAAGCAATTGGAGAAAGGAGATAATTACCGTGTAGTTGCGTGAGTGGTGCCTAAAGGTACTACGCTCGACCTTCGGAGTACTTCGAGTATTGTTGCTTCCGTGACTGGTAAGAACGGTAGATCCTCCAGAGCAGGCATTCTAGAGTCTCCTACCACCTGATCTAGTTCCTCCCGTACCGCGGTCGCGGCATCCGGATGATGTAGCATCAAGATTATCGCCCATTCCAGCGTAGTTTTTACTGTTTCCATGCCAGCAGAAAACAGATCTCCAAGAATTTGTTGCATTTGACGATCTGCTTGGAAATCAAAAAGCAAGAAATCGTAAGGAACATGCTACAGAGTCTAATAACGATGATAATAATAATTATCATATCGAAACAACAATAAAATAATGACGATCACGACGATAATCGTGTATCATAGAAAAACAAAACGACTCACCGTGATTTTTTCCTTGGAAAAGCATTGCTGCTCGACCTTCTCCTTTTGCTTTCTCGATCTCGAGTAAATACGCGTCGACCAAATCTCGAACTGTACCCTCGTGGAAAGTCGCGCGATGCTGGTCGACCGCCTCTTGGAAAAAGTCTGCCATCTCGGAACGGTTCTCCGATAGTTTGTTTCGTATTTTTTGCAAACAGGGCAAGTATCGCATCACAGGGATAAAATTCACTGCGGCCATACTTCCGAACAACTTGAACCCTTCCTCGATCAAGTCCATGAATCTGTTGAACCTAGTGTCGCCGTGTTGGAAACGCACTCCCATTATGATCGAGCAAATCACGTTGCTGATAGACATTCCGAGGGAGGCCGAAACATCCATCGGAGCACCACGTCCCGACGCCAGACCACGAAGGAACGTCATAACCTCGCGCTACAAATTCAAACAACATTGTTTCACTTTCCTCGTCGATAACTATACGACTATCATCGAAACGAGAATATCGTGAATATCGACGAACGCCGAAGACTCGCGGAAAAGTGAGAAAAAAAAACCGGATTTATCGACAGGTTGCGCTCACCATGATTCTCGATTCCATAACTTTCTTTCCACCACCCATATAGGTCATGCCGAAGCTCCTGAGTTTATCGTGAAGAAATTTTCTTTGCTCTTTCCACATAGCACCCTCGGTGTTGATAATACCTACGGGAAGAAGAATCCTTTCATACGTGGAACTCGAACGGAATACCGATACGGAATTTTTCGCAATTTTCGAACCGTCGATACATGCACGCGATTAAACGCCACTTTTGGTAGACGAGATCACGGAATCGAAAAAAATTGGTGATGCGGAAAATCGAATGCGGGGAAGAACAAGCAACCGAAAGTGGTCGAAAGATAATGTCAAGGAGAGTCACAGAAAGAATTAAAGACAGACACGGAGAGACAAAAGAGGGAAAGAAAAAAAAGAGAAAGGCCGTCGTTTTAACCTTCGATATGTATATCGAACCCGAGGAGGCAAAATTACGGCGCCGACGAAATGGCGCGAAAGTTCCCATTGTAATACGGGCTCCGAACGACGAACTTCGGGATAACGTTAATAATCGAAATGCCGTGAGAGCACACTTACCATATCCACCAAGGATGTTGATGAACTCTGTATGCGGTCGTCCAGTAAATTCCTCTCGACGAAATGTGTCGCGTATAGTGCGATGATCGCTAAGAACGACCACCAGTTGCGTTCCTAAACGGGCACTGAACATAGGGCCGTATTTTTTCGCGAGTTCGCCGTACTGAAGATGAACGTCACCCTTTAAAAACGGCAGGTAACCGAACACGGGTACGCCCCAAGGACCCGGAGGCAGGGAACGCACGTATCTAAGCCATTGCAAGCACCTTGCCACCAATAACACAACAAGGAACACGAGCAACGTACAGAGGACCTCGATTCTCGTACCACCCATCGCTTGCCAAGTCCACTGTGCCGCGTGTTCTACTAGCATCGTGATTATCAACCGCACCAAAACTGTACGATGGTTCGATTACCCCGTAGAATCGTTCTCCAACCGATTTATCGATTCGATGCTCAATTAATGGATATCGATTATTAATCGCGTTGAATATGAATCTCAGTGGATCGTCTATTCTTTCCAACGCTCTTCCCTTTTGCTCATTATTCTGTTCTTCTTATTAATTGTTCCCTGGATCGCCTTTCCCTTTCCTTTCCTTTGTCTTTCAACTTCAGTGTCCACTCTTATTTTTATCTCTCCCCAGTCGCCTCTCTTCCTACTTTCCCTTCGTCTGTGATCTCTTCCCACTTTCCTTCTTTTCTCGCCCCTCTTTCGTATGTATCGTTTGTCAATACAACGATGGATACTCGTTGTTCGGTCTTGTCTAGCCGAGTTTCATCTGTACACTAGATGTGTGACGTTTCGTTCGCGAAATTCGTGACTACGCGTTGCAAAGGTCGACTGGACTGTTCGATCATAACTTCGAGACAAATATAGCGGAGGACAATCGGTGCACACGTGGGCACAAGTATGGTATACCGTGTGTAGAATGATTTGTCAGAAAATCGTCGAAATATCCGATTGTATAACGATTCGAAAGATTCGGACCAACGATATGACAAGCAAAACGATGAAACGTATGATAAAGGGAAACTAAGAAGGTATATGGAACACGAATGAACACATCCTAGTGTATTATCGTACGTGTATTCCTTGGTCGATGGAAGGTGAAGAGGAATGATTAGGAGACGAGGTGGTAACAAGGAGAACGAAAGGAAGCAGCTAGATACGAGAATCGGACAAATAATTTGCCGGCCGATAATGTGAACGATGTGAACGATCTTGCTCGAGAAAAAGAGGAACGGGGAGAGAAGAACGAAGATTCGGGGGCAGGGGGGGGGGAAGGCGGAGAACAAAAAGGAGGAGGAGCAGAGATAAGGATAGAGAGTGAGAAACTAAGAAAGAGAGGGAGGGGGAGTAAGAGGGGGGATGGGAGGAGGAAAGAATGAAAGAAAGAAAAAAAAGTCGGTCACCGCCGCAGCCGAATTTGCCGGCGCTCGCTGTATCGTGGATCGTGCGAGCTACGTCAAGATTGAGTGTATACTAACATACACCTTCTTGTCCTTGCCCGTCTTATATAGTGACTCATCGAGCACCGGCCCCCCAGCGGCTCTAAACGGTCCCCCGGATGCCTCCCAATTGCCCCCCGGCAGTCCCAGCCACGTGGTGGGGCAGCGGCACAAAGAGAAGCAGAGACGAACGCGATGGAGAGGAAAGAGCCAAGAAAGACGGTGGACAGTTGAACGGGTTACACGACGAGTCGCGACCGTCACGGGACGCGTCAGGACCGCGACTTGGTGGGGATAAAGCGTGGGTCTCACTTTCAGGGTGGTGGACACTTCCGGCGAGGGTGCGAAGGCGGGCTCCTTATGCCATAACCTCGTTGGTCGAAAACCACGAGGACTCCTATCCCGCCACGCTCGCTGGTGGGAGATTCGGGCCCCCTGCAGGGATTCGAAACTATCGCCCTGTAGTGGGGATTGCTATCACCAAACTCAACGGTAAGTATCACTTCGGACTTACCCGCGAAGGATCCACTTTGGATCGACTAGCATTCCGCGCCGTTCTTCGAGCGCGTTTCTTTCGTGATATTGTACGTATCCATAGTATAGAGACAGCTATGTAAATAGATGAAACATGAGGGTAATAAGATACAGAATGTGTGGAATTGTGTTAAAAATTTCGAGAATCGCAGAGGTCTCAAGTATTATACGTCGCCTCGTGAAAATGGCGGAACACGTAGAGCATAGTGGGGAATCGTGGTTGTAATTACCAAAGTAAATGTAAATGTAAATGTAAATGTAAATGTGAATGTAAATCGAAATGTAAATGTAAATGTAAATGTAAATGTAAATGAAAATGTAAATGTAAAATGTACGCTGACAAATCTCTAGAGAATTTTGCGTACGAAAGGCAAGATTCCTTTCTTCGAGTTTGAACGCATTTTAATTTTGCGGTCCACGGTGACCCAGACATGGCCTTTACGGAACAGTCGCGGTTCTTCGATGGCTGGGTCATTGACCCAGTTCGTATTCTTTCTCGATAGCCACGTCCGGTTTTCACCATGGACGGTACCAGAAATATCCCTTTTGCCGTCGAGGACGAACATTCTCGGAGCAACACTGTTAAACTTGATTCGTTCAGTACGTAGATGCGTTTGGTGTTGCAAGACGTAGCATTTATTTCTTTCGGGCAAACGATAACCAATCAATTCGATCGATTGATTTTTCCTAGATGTCCGTGCTTTACAAATCATCGATTTATCAGTATTGTACATGATGCTCGTGGTTCCGTTTTCTCTTCCTTTCTCCGTTACTTCCACAGTTTTTCTTCATGGTCCAGTTGGCGGTTCACTTCAACTTCGTTTCTTCATCTCCCTTTAAATTATATCGCATATTCTGTGGAGGGTATCCAATCCTTGACGATTATCTTAAGGAAGCTATGTACTTTGGTAACGATAGGTGTGTAAACCGAAATTTCTTCTTGAAAATTGAACAAATAAAGATGTTCACGATCACTTTGGAAATTATATATCCAAGACAACGCAACGACCAATGTTCAGTTTCACGAGTTTTCTTCGTACATTTCACAGAGCTAGGAACTCGTTCGAATCAGTTTACGGGACCATTCGACGCTACACTAGCGATTCGCTGAGACTCTGCTAAATTCGATTCCTCGGAATATCCGTATCCACCAGAGTTCTGTTCGCGACAAACTTTGCCAAGAGAGTGTATAATCGTTCGCAGTACTTAAGCATCTACAAGTATCGAAAGTTAAACTTCGTAACGCATTGCAGTTGTCAAAAAGCAGCAAACAATTACTCGATCGAAGTCCGTTCTTTGGCTACAAATATATATATATAATTTCTCTGCAATGAAAAGTGCTCAGATATTACCTTGGAGTTTAAACACTTTAAACACCTTTAAGAACGTTCGTAAACTTCGATGATGTGCATCGTGTGTTTGAACGCGTATCTTCGTCTCCAAGTGTTTGTTCTATGCACATGATTGCACGAAAGATATATTTTTCCTATTTACCGACAAGACGAAAGTGCCCAGTACCAAACTTGCACAACATATTCGCGTACAACAAAATAGTCGCCAAAGTATAAAAGGTCCAACATCGTTCCTGTCGCTTCAACCAATTCCTCCCATGCATATCAGAGCTAATTGAATACAAGAACGGAGCCGTTTTACTCGACGGATTTTCCACCGAATGCTGCACAAAGCAGCGATATCCCAAAAATCTCAAAATGCAAAATCGGCCCCTTTGCCAACTATCGAACGCAAGGATCGTTCGTTCGTTTTTTACGGTACGATAGTACGACACAACCGACGACATTTCGAAATAATAAACGATCGATGTGATTGGCAATTGATCGTATCGTGCAAATCCGAATGACGAATTAAATTGTCAGTGAAAAGGATAATGCGGCAGAAACGGGGAAAAAAAAAAAGCTGGTATGCCTTATATTCACGTATTCATACTATTACAACTGTTACGGGCGGTGAGCACGCGTGTTCGCAAACGTGATCGATTCTTTTGAATGTGTGTATACCCGAGAAACAACTCGCTCGCGTAATCAAGCCTGCAATTTCTGATTGTTTACATGCGAGGGCATTGCCCGGATGCCGTTTACCTTACGTACATTCCAGGTGTTACCACTCCCTCCTTTGCCTCCTCCCGATTCCAACCTCCTACCGCTTTCAACGCACCTACGACGACGCGTATATACGAATCGCATACGATACGCTCAGGTTTGCACACGGTCGGCGGGTCCGCTTTCGAGCAATCCGCCAGATTCGATGCGTACACTACTCCTTCCTCTCTGTAGGAATCAACCAATTGGTTAACAGCCGACAGGTATTAACGTATGTAACTATGTGCCTACCTGAACTCTGAATTACAGACTGAATAGGTGTCGTTGTTATTGTTCACGTTGCTGCAAATCTATCCCTAATTCTCCCGTTTCCTCTCGGTGTCGGTCTATCGAATAATTCGAATTTCTTCGTTCCAATTCGATTCCTCTTTCGTCGCGGCCTCGATTTCTCCTCGTATCCGGCCAGAACCGATCGAGTTTGTCCAGCTTTGAATTACTAAACATTACCAAAACCTTAATGAACGCGTGACTATATATCAGACAGACTAATATTTCTCTATTTCTTTTTTGACGTTGGATCAACACCGATACTGATGCTGGGCTTTCGATCACGTATCCGAATGTAAGATATTTTCAATATTAGTCCGGGCATTCGACGATACGGGTAGTCGCCCGACATTAACGTTAACTCGTACGGTGAAAGGGTAGTTGTTCTCCGCGTGAACATAGAAACGAACACGAACACCGTGGATTCAACTAACCCATATCACTTGAATCGATAAATGATATTTGGGAACCAAGTACGGACCATACTTAATTTGAAGTTTCAATTGTGTAGCATGAATATGTTAAATGACATTAGCCAGTCGACAATGACTATACGAATACGATGGTCGAAGCGAAAGAATTACGAGACTGTCACGTCAAAGGAACCAGGGAAACCAAATACATACCGAAGAACAAAGTGACGAGTGAAAGAAAAAAAGGATTCGATACAATTTATATATACATATAGTTATATACATATACACATGTACACCTGTGAACGCGGGTGCGAGCGCGCGCGTGCGCAATACATCTTCGAACGGGTTTCCTTTCTAACGGCTAATAACGGACCCAGACTGGTCAGGTACGAGAAGGCAGTTTTTGACTGTCCGTTATTCCTCGGTTCGGCCCGTCTTTCGAATTACCTCCAAAAACCCCCCTCGAACCTTGGTTCGATCCGTTAGAAACCGTACGTAGCCTGTTGGGAGTCGCGCGACCAATTCGGCAGCCTAACGAACGCGTATAGGTAAAGTCGATGGGCACGATACTGTGTCCTCGTAATATCATT